AACTAGAAGAGGGCTCGTGATACCGCTCTTGCTTCCGATGAAGGCACATCTTCTCTAAGTCCTCAGCTTGAGGGGAAAAACTGAAAAGAAAGCATACCTCTAAGGCTGAGGTTAAGGAGAAACCTCTAGTCACAACAGAGATCCTAGAAGGACCAACCACAATGGTCCTTGACGAAGATGAAATCGAAGACGATGATGAAACAGTTTCTCTTCAGAGATGAAGAAAAAGAAGAACTCCCTTAGCTCAACAGGAGAATGTAAAAGGACTCTTTACTGCGTTCGACTTGGTTGAGAATGCTGAATCTTGCTTTCGGGATCCAGTTACTGCCTCCGATCAGAAGGGTTCCGCTTTTGATGCTCCATCAACTTATATTCCAACTCCAACTCTTGCATCACTAGCTCCTGCCTCATCGCCAGTCCCAACCAAACAAGAGGAAGATGTGAGTTCCCCCCGATCACCTGATAAAGGAACATAGAAAATGCCTTCTTGATATCTATTCAAAACCCTAACGGTGAAACGCATTGTTACCTTTTTGGTTTTGTATGAATCCCATTTGCTTTCCAAGCTGGTGGGAGTAGCTAACTACTTGAAGCCTTTTGATTCGAATAAGGACAAGAGAAAAATGGATGGTGTCTCCGTGGAATGTTTCATGAACAACAACATGCATCTTGCTGCTCAAATATCATCTCATTTTTCTCCTTTTCCTTTTCACTTGCTAACCATCATCTTTGGCAATTCTAACATTCGACTTTATAGGCAAACTCCTCACCTCCGAGGGCTTACAGAAGATGATCCTGGATAAAGAGACACTTGTTGTTGAGCGAGATCAAATTGTTGTTGAACGGGATCAACTTGTTGAGCGCTTCCCAGCTTTAGAGACAAGGCTTGCTCAGCTAAACGAACTCGAAGCTCGATTGGAGCAAGTTGAGCAAGAAAAAATGCTCCATAGCAAAGAGGCCACTCAGTTGCAAGTTGAGTTTGCTGAGTTAAAGGTCAAGTGGGTTGAGATCGAGGATGTTGTGACTTTGGCAACCGAACGCGAGTCTGCTTCCATGGAAAAATCCAATAACCTGGAAGCAAACTTACGTTCTAAAACCGAGGAAGCTGTTACGGCCGAGGAGAAGGGGGCAAGATTAGAGGAAAGGCTCAAAAAGGTCATGGAGAAAAATCATGAACATGTAAAGACCAATACTGACCTTTCTTGGACATATGACATCTTAAAGGTTGATAACGAGTGGTTGCAGTCGAAAATCCAACGACTCTAAGCCAAACTTCGAGATCAAGAGGATTCTTTCTTGCTTGAGAAAACTTATATAGTTTATCACATGAGGAGGAAAACTTTGGAGGATGCTAAAGAAGGCAGTCAAATATAGGTGATTGCATCGCTGAACCCCTTGACTTGAGACAATTGCCTTAAAAGAATATTCCTGGACAGCCTATAACTTCAAGCTCCTCGAGCACTTGCTCTAAGTACTCCGAGACCGAGGAAGATGATGAAAAAGATAAGGGCAAAGGTGCTAAACCCAATGTTGAGCAATCTTCATCTCCGAAAGATGCAGCAGAGAATTCTCATCCTCCAGACTCCGCTGATAAAGCAAACTAATGTATTATATTATTTTCCCTTTTGTAATTATGCCGGAACCTCTATTGGGTTCGACGTTTTTGAAATAAAAGACATCTTTTTATTTAACTTTTGGGCAAAAGACATCTTTTTATTTTTTCATTGATAAAGTCTGCTAATTTTTACATTCGACTAACTTTAATACCGGACATTCATACTTCTGATTTTTGCCCTTTAATTACGAGGGTCTCATAAAAGAGAGCATTTCTTATGTTCATTTCGGAACTTATATTTGAAGTTTAAGTATCATTTAAATGAAAAAGACCATCTCTTATCATTTGGACGAGAAATAAGAAATAAACAAAAGTTATTCCTTCTATTTCCAAAAGTACATTTACATGAGCAAAAAATTTATACATTCGCTTAAGTAAATAAAGCTACCAATACATGTGGCTAACATATAAAATTTATTTCTATGGGGTAGGTCATATAGTTCTCGGTTCTAACTCGATGTCTTTCATACTAATTGAAATTTTAAGTTCAATATATAGTTCTCGGTTCTAGCAGTACCCGGTTTCATTGATACTTTTAGTGATCTGATATACAGTAGTTCCCCCCAAGTGTTCAGATGCAAAGTATAAGAATTTGAACACTGGATTTCTTGTTGCTATTGACGATCCTTATTCAGAGTACGCTTTACATTGCTACGCCTCATTAAAAACCTTGACAAAAAAACTCAATTGAGACAAAATTAGACGAAGGAAAAAAGAGTGCAACACATACTTTTAGTACTATCTAGGACCTTCAACAGTAGTACTTTTTTATGTGAGTCACGTTCCAGTTGCGTAATTTTACTCCATCTTAATTTTTTAGTTGATATGAATCTTTACCTATTATATCTGAAATCCAATAAGGTTTTTTCTAGGTTGGTCCTAGCTTTCCGGCATTGACTTTTCGTGTACTGTGAGTTACCTTTAAAACCAAGTCTCTGATTTTGAAATAATGAAGATTTTCTCTGTGATTGTAGTATATTTTCATTCTTTTCTTTTGTACCACCATTCTTACATAAGGCAAGTTACGATTCTCCTCAAGTAAGTCCAACTTCATCAACATTGCTTCATTATTCTCCTGCTCGTTAGCTCAGGAATACCTCATGGTCGGCTCACCTATCTCCACTGGAATCAAAGCTTCAGCACCGTACACAAGGGAAAAAGGCATTTCTCCTATGCTCGATTTTGTCGTTGTTTCATACGCCCACAATATGTCTGCCAGCTCTTCTGGCCATAAGCCTTTAACATCATCTAATTTTTTTGAAGTTTTGAATTATCACCTTGTTAGTTGACTCTTCTTGTTCGTTTGCACTTTATGGTATGGGGAGAACATGATCCATTTAATCTTCAATCCCTCTAGGAACTTTGAATTCTTGGAACCTATAACTTATGGCCCGTTGTCACAAGCAATTTCTTTTGGTATCCCAAATCAGCAAATGATATGATCCCAAATAAAATCAATCACTTCTTGTTCTCCAACCTTCTTGAAAGCACCTGCTTCAACCCATTTTGTGAAATAATCAGTCAAAACTAAAAGAAATTTTACCTGTCCAGACCCTTGAGGCAAAGGACCAATTATATACATCCCCCATTTTATGAATGGACACAGTGACGCTATTGAATGCAAAAGTTCTGCCAGCTAATGTACCAGTTGAGCATGACATTGGCACTTATCACACTTTTGTACAAATGCCTTTTTATCTTGCTCCATCTAGAGCTAATAATAACCGACTCTCATTAGTTTGAGCACCAATGAGTCCGCACCGGAGTGATTTTCAAAAACTCCTTCATGAACTTCCCTGATCACATAATCAGCTTCTGATGGACCTAAATACTGAGCCAACGGACCTTGAAAATACATTCGGTATAATTGTCCATCAACAAAATAATACCGGGCAACTTTTGTTCATAATGCCAGAGAGGCTTTAGAATTATCAGGCAATTTTTCATGCCTTAAATATTCTATATATGCATTTCTTCAATCCTAGATTAGGTTGGTGGAGTTAACTTCGCAGTAGCCATCCACATCTAGGACTAATTCCAATAACTGAAAATATGCACCGGAATCAGCTCCTTTCATTTTTGTGGATGAACCTAAGTTGGCCAACACCTTCGCTTCCACACTTTCTTCTCTTGGAATATGGATTAGTGACCACTACCTGAACCGACAGAGTAAAATTTGAACTTTATTCAAATATTGTTGCATGCGCTCTTCTTTGACACCAAAGATCCTATATATTTGATTTACCACTAGCTGAAAAATGCACTTTACTTCAATCCCTTTGGAGCTGAGTGCCCGAGCTAATTCAAGTATAGTCCTACAACTAAAGCCTCATATTCGACTTTATTGTTAGTCAATGGAACAGTTCGAATGGTTTGTCTTAGAATTTTCCCCGAATGAGTGATTAATACTATCCCAAGACCAAAACTTTTATGTTGGATGCACCATTTGTAAACAAGGTCCATACATCAAAGGCAGTTCCTGATACCGTAACTGCTTCCTTTTCAACTAAAGGCATCTTCCGCAGACTAAAATCAAAAGTCGGCCAAAACTTGTGACTTAATTACAGTGCGAGGTTTATATTCAATATCAAATTCACTAATTTCAACTGCCCATTTAGCCAATCGACCCGATAATTCAAGTTTGTGAAGAATGCTCCTCAAGGAAAAGTCGTCACAACGGCTATTGGATGACATTAAAAGTAGGGTCTAAGCTTTCAAGAGGAAACTACGAGAGCTAGAGCCAACTTTTTCAAGTGCGGATAACGTGTTTTCGCATCTGATAGTATTTTACTAACATAATATGTCGAAAATTTCATACCTTCTTACCGTAACTTCCATTACCGCTAAACAAATTAACAATAGCTCTTTCTCCTTTGGTTTAGACATTAAAGGAGGACTGGACAAATACCATTTCAAGTCTTTCAGTGCTTGCTCGCACTCAGGAGTCCACGAGAAGTCATTCTTATTCTTTAATAGTAAAAAGAAATGGTGACATATCTCCGATGATCTTGATATGAATCTGCTAAGGGCGGTGTAGACATGTGATTTTTGACCCTCCCCAAGATCTTTTATATATTAGCGTAAAAATATTTAATTTAGGCATAATATATATATTTTAAGTAATTTTGACTCTTTTACTTTATTTTAGTACAAGAAAACAAAAATTTCTTACAAAAATAATAATAATAATAATAATAATAATAATAATAATAAGTTCATTAATATTTGTAGTCATTTTTAATCTAAAAAATATATATAAAAATAGTATCGTATTTTTATTTTTAATATAATATTTGAAAATACAAAAAATAGATTTGTTTTAATGGTTAGTTTTGTTTTAATAATTATTTTAATAGTAGGACTAATTAATAAATGGGCGCGTATTTTTAATCTCATTCGCGGCAAAAGAATAGAGCTTGGGCTCGAGCAACCCATCTTTAGGCCTAATTTTGGACCTAGCCTACAATTGTCAAGCCCATAATTTCTAGGACCATACCCCTTAACCTAAAACCCTACAACCTAGACTATACACTATAAAAAAGAAGACAAAAGAATAAGAAAAGGAACGAAGAAGAGGCTGGACAAAAGCTGAGAGAAAGGTTGCGCAGCTTTTGGAAAGAGAACGACCCCCTCCCAACGTCTTCTCCTCCGTCATACCCCATCCCCTGACCTGATCGTCTTCAATGTTTTCTTTGCCCGTTTCTGATTTGGTTCTTCAACATAAATACAAAAACGACCCCCTGATTTCGTCTCCCTCTCTCACCCGATGACTGCTCACCCAAACGACCCCTGAACTTCCGGCGTCGACTCTGTCCAAACGACCTTTACTTCGCCGGTTATCACTCAACCAGACGAGCTCCCTCGCCGGAAAACAACACCTAATTCACTCTTTCACTGCCTACACACATACGCTCAGTCACTCCTCACTATCGTCGGAATACACACGTAATTCGTCACCGGAAATTCTCAAAAGCACACACGAGATAAATTGATTTCAAAGATGGTTTTGATTTTGTTTCTTCACTTGGATTCGATTTCTGGTTATTCGAGTATGGGGATAAAGTTCAGTCGAGGTTGATTCAAGTTCGTGTTCGATTCGAAATTCCGGTGCCGATTTGAGTTTCCGTCCGGTGGCTTGCTGTTCCAGCTCGGGTTTTGCTGTTTAACGAGAGGTTCTGTTTCTCTTTTCTCAATTTCTACTACTTTTGTTCCCATGACAAAACTTTGACAATTTATAAATGTTCTAAGTTGAAGTAATGTTCATGTTACATACTGATTTGGTTACATCTGTTGGATATTTTTATGAATGTGGTAGATTTGTGCTTGTTAATTGATAATTTCATAGTTTATGTTCACTTGGTAGAAGCAATTCCAGCCTTCTGTATTCGTGTTTGATTCTCTGTTTAAGAACTTTATAGGCATTAATATTGATCGTTAAAGCTAAGCTAAATTCATGGATAAAAATTCTGCACTGGATGTTCTGTGTGCTTTCCTCCCTGGCAGCTTAAGTTGAAACCTGTGAAATTATTAGCAGGTCTTTAGTTTGCCGAGTCACACAACTGGAAAGGCTCAAGCAGGCGTTGATTTGTCACTGTTTGGATTCATGTTTTAGTTGGTCACATTGGAGTACATAGATTCACTATTAGGAGGAATAGGACACCCAATTTCTTAAAGCAAAATTTAATACGACAATTACATGGCCCTCACTTTAATTAATCTTGTATTAATCCTTAGATTCCGAGGCGTGCCATTTAGCTAAATTCCATGGCCCTCGCAAAGTGCAGACGCGTAGTTGCTTTAAACGCGCTCTTAATAAAATTACCTTCCTAAATTCGGGTGCGCATTGATGCGACCCAAATCCGAATCTCGATGAAGTCGAAATGTGTTGACAATCACGGGCGCATTGATTGCGACGGGGTTCGAAATGCGTTTTCACGACATCGTAATTCTTATAAATAAAATAATGATAGAAAAGAGGTTCACAAATTGAGATGAGCTCCACCGAACGAAAATAAATAAATGTGGGGCCCTCAATAAATGGTTATTAAAAATGAATAGAATTTGGGAGGGCCATTTAGCGAACTTCGCGGCTTTCCCTAAAGATAACAACGTGTTAGACCCTTTAGGAGCATTTTTAATAAGATTACTTTCTTAAAACTCGGGTGCGCATTGATGCGACCCAAGTCCAAATCTCAACAGAGTTGGAATGTGTCAATAACCACGGGTGCATTGATGTGACGTGGTTCGAGACACATTTTCACGACGTTGCAACTCTCGTTAAAAATAATGATAAAAGCGGTTTATAAATAAAAGCACATAGGCTAGCATGTATCAAAATCAGATAAAATTAAATACAATAGTTAAGCGACCGTGCTAGAACCACGGAGCCCGGGAATGCCTTAAACCTTCTCCCGGGTTAATAGAATTTCTTACCCGGATTTCTGGTTCGCGGACTGTTAATAGAGTCATATTTTTCCTCGGTTCGGGATTCAACCGGTGACTTGGGACACCATTAATATCCCAAGTGGAGACTCTGAATCATTAATAATTAAATCCTGTTCCGATTGTCCTTTAAATGGAAAAACTCCTTTACGCCCTTTGCGGGGTGTAGTGAAAAAGGGAGGTGTGACAGCTCTGACGACTCTGCTGGGGATTTCGAACCTAGAATCTCTGGTTCAGGGTTCAGAATTCGAGCTTAGATAAATTGTTGTATTTGATTGTATCTGATTTTCCTACATGTTTGTGCTGAATGTGCTAAATGTTACCGCTTTGATATTATCTGAACTGTATATAAACTGTGCCGACACCCTTATCTCTTCACCTCCGGGGATGTGCTTACTGGTTGAGACTCCCTATTATGTTAGTGTCATACCTTGAAATAAGAAAGAGGCCGGACAAGTTACGAAGCCAGATGACCTTTTGGTTCCCGGTAAGTTGCTCCCTCCTCGACTCGATTCGTCCGCTCGGGTACACAGTCTAGAACACCGAACCAGGTTTTGAACATAGAATAACGTGACTTCATGCCGAATCCCTAGTAGGAACGATTATTTGCATCATGTTGCATTTGACCTAGGGGACTCAGCACAGGGGCTGAGTCTGTCTAGGGCTAGCAACCTGAAATGAAAGGACCATCCTGATGCATCTTACTTGCTCTGTACATATATGTGTTTCGAACCTGCATGTTGACCGGTTTCTGAATCTCGGGAATGTTGGAAAATTGAAAAAAAAAGAGAAAAGAGAAAAAGAGAGAAATATCAGTTAGGGAGTTAATTGATTATTTCAGAAATAAAAATCAATGACCAATTACTAGCGAAACTCTGCTGAAATTTTGAGAAAATGAAAAAAAAGGAAAATGTTTTATTTTGTTTTGCTAAAAAAAAAGGCAAAGAGAAAAAGTAGAAAATAGTCTTTTATTTTTGGAAAGTTGGTTGTTGAAAAAAAAGGATAAAAAGAGTCTTTGTTTTAGTTTGAAAAACATAAGTTATTTCGTTATTTGTTGAAAAAGGAAAGGAAAAAGAGTCTTTTATTTTTAGCTTGGAAAAATAGGCTGTTTTATTTGTTGAAAAGAAAAAAGAAAAAAAAAAGAGTTTTGTTTCTAAAAATAGTTTTTATTTGCTTATGAAATGCCAAGAATAAAAATGGAAAAGAGTCGTGTTTTAAAATAGTTCGGTTAATTTGCCCGAACTACGCAGGTTTGATTCTCGCAGGGCGTGAGATACGTAGGCAACCCTCATCGGGTCCAACCTCCCCTTTGCAAAAATATACAAAAAATATCAGAATTTTAATTTTTGTCATAAATAAACCAGGTAATGTCGTTTTTGTCAAAAATAGCCAAATGTTCCCAAACGGGGCGCCGGAAGGCTGACTTTGCATAAACAACCACCTTTGGTCATATTTTTATTTTTGACCCTCACAGCCTTAAAATCTTCGCCCCCGAGGTGCAGGAAGGCCGTGTTTGCAATACCGGGTCATTTATTTCAATTTGAAAAACAAGAAAAAGAGTCAGTGGTCAAATGAATACCGTTCGGATTTTGGGTCAAAGTTGGCATATAGGGGAAGGAATCTGTCATTTTGTTTTTGGGTTTGTATTTCTTTTGATTAGAGTATTTGGGTCGTTTGATTTTGGAATCTGTATTTCATCGTTAAGTTGGTCAGTTTTGTCGTTATTATGAAAATGGAAAATTCCAAAAATGTTTTATTGTCGTTTACCTTTTATTTGCACGAACTACGCCTGGTCTGATTCGTGCGGTGTCACGATACGTAGGCAATCCACATAGGATTCGACCACAACCAAAACCAAAAAAAAAAGAATTGAAAAAATGGGAAAAGATGTTGTGAATAATGAGGACCGACCCAATCCATTCTAACATGTTTTGTTTTGAATTGTGAAGAAAGTTGAGGTGGTCGGTTGTGGTAAGCTGGAAACACAAGATCCAAGGAAAATGATAACTGACATCGAAGCTGTTACGAGTGCTNAATGCTCTGGGGCACAATGTGGAAAATTGTCGGGATTTGAAAAGAGAAATAGAAAGGATGATCCAGAAAAATTTGATTCAAGACAGTGGCACCCAGAATATCACGCTGCATCCTTTACATGAGGAGGCACACTTGGTGGGGATGATGCCCGGTGACATGGGGTATGAGAATACTCTTGGGAACTTGTTGACTGAAGTTGAAGATACTGAAGCAGATAGTGGTCATGACAATATGGATGCGAAGCTTAGTGGCTAAAAT